CATGGTGTGAGATCTTTAATCATTGAATAGTCGGCCATTTTTTTATGCAGAGATATTGATGTTTTTTTAGGTTTTCTCTTTGTTAAGGATGAAGTTATGGACGACTTAAGGTACACTATATATATATATATAGAAGATGTATTGAGTAAGGTCGCGATGGTTGGAATAAACTTAATCGCAATAAATACAAAAATGGAAGATTTCTTTTGTTAAAAAAAAGAATAAGTTAACCGAATCTAGTTCAATCGGTGTAAGAGGTTGTCAGTAGATGTATCAGTTTATATTCAGAAAGGAAAAAAAGGAAGTTACAGATGTAACGATACAAACATATGTCTATCAAATCCAATTAATATTTATGCAAAGTTACAAAGACTATATTAATTCCCTTTCTATATTAAGTTTCAATATTAATAAGTTGTGTAATATTTAATTTTCATAAATAATTAAGAAACTATATATACTTTCAGATCGACATGAATATTTTATATATTGCAAAATTAAATTGAATATAAGTTTTTTTAGTAACCAAAATGTATATAAGTCAAAATGAAGTTTATGAGACGTGAATCTATACATGCAAAAATATTTTGAACGAAAATAGCAGTAAATGAAAAGCTGAAATCAGATATCGATCAAATCAAGTTATTTTCACTTTGCATGCACAGGTCCTAAAATTATGTATTCAACAATAATCCAACTACCAAACGATATGAAATTAATTGGTTACATTTACTATAAAATAAATATTTGACAAAAACATGCATTATTGTTATATTATGATTACGATTTTGCAAAAGAACATAACCGTATATATATAGTTTTATTAACATTTAACATGTAAATTTCAGATTATTGAATTCATATTTATAAAGCATGTATTAAAAAGGTAAATTTCAGATTATTAAGTTAATATAAATATTGACAACAGAATCATAATGAAAAGCATTTTTGTTACATCATAAACTCAATAGTAAATTCAATAAAAAGCAAAGTTCAAACATCCCATAAGTAAATTCATGTCAGATACAAAGAAAGAAACAAAGACATTTATAAAAAAGTAAATAATCAAACATATTGAAATATCAAATATGATTTTCGATCAGTTTCTAGGCTTCACGGAAGATGGACTTGCCTCATCATTATTACAACCCAAATCAATGACATTTGTAAGTTTATTCGGGGTGTTCCAAAACCTCCAAATAAATCAATTATTGTAAGCAAACATATCAAACCAAATATTTGATTATGTTTAAATAAGGTGCATATAATAGTTTACCTTCTAACCAAAGTTTTGGCTCGTGGACAATCAGGATGAAACTCGATTCTAGAAATCCCTCCTCTAGACTGAATATAGTATCCAGCTATGACAATAATATAAATGTTATTTGATAGATATCACAATAAAGAAATCAATAATCAATCAATATTAATAATGTAATTTATACTAACCTTCTCTTTGTTTAACAGACCAGTCGGTTAACATAACAACAAATGCTAATTGATTTTCACTGAAGATCTTGTCATTGAAATCAATTGCATGTGGTCCTAATGCAACACACGATAACAATAGCCCTCTACATATCGATTACAACAACATATTATTTAACAAATAAACTGTTTATTGACTCATTAACAAATACACCAACCAAAAAAACATTGGAAACTTACTTATGATCCTTGATAGTGAAAGATATACTGGCAGTCTTCTTATCATGTCTTTCAGGGTATGAATCATCATTCACCGTGTCCAGTGGATCAATTTTGATAACAAACCCGAGAATATCTGAAGATGAAAATCAAATTACAATTTATATGCTATGTAGTCAGTTTCTTAATTAATATAGATAGTAATGAAATATAAGATTTATAATAATAGGCAAAACTATACCGATAGGAAGACCAGGCTCTGTTTTGCCACCAAGCACATCAGAAAAAGAAACAAAACCCTGTGCAGTATCAAATTCGATAGGATCTATGTGATCCACTTCAGTGTTATTTAAAAACCTGATACAACTACCAATAGGAGAATTTGGTTCATCTGATGTTTCATCAAAAACCACAAATTCTGAAATACTTATCCATTCTCCTTCTTCAATTGTCTTGTCGAAAGCTTTGATTAAATCAGTAGTATATAGATAAGCTTGAATAGTTTCACCCTGAATATATAAGATAATTTAGAAAATACAAACCAATATCTCAATGTAATATAACAAAAATAGAACAATATAAGAGAACATTAAAATAAGTACCTCTTCGTCCATCAACATAAATTGTAACGATGGACGTTCCCTTGGATGTTTTACATGTCATTTCTTCAAAACTTTGCATCTTATAGTCCAGTTTGTCTGGTCAGAATGCAGATCTATAATGAAATCATAGTCTTCCATTGAAGGGTATTCCAGAGAGCTTTTGATTTTCTGGAAAATAGTAACTGAAGGTTTGAATAAGAAAAGGGTAAGAAATCTGTGGTCTCGGAAATATTAATGTGTTTAGATATTTTTTTAATTTCCATTATTGTATGATATTTATTTACATCAAATTATGCCCATATATAATCAAAATATATTTATATATCGATAAAGTTACTTACACAACTAGTCAATATGTATTGAAGACATAAAAGGAAAACAGATTTATGTCATTGTGTTTTCAAATCAACTACAAAAGTTGTAGAGAGTATTTATTGATAATCTGTATACGCAACAATGCGTTATATTAAGAAATCTCGAATATATATAGCGTATATATATAACGCAGGAATTAAGGTAATATATATCATTTTAATGTCTCAATAAATTATTAGACTAAATTTGTGATATTAATATAGGAAAGTTTCATATGTCATACAAATACTGGATATGATTATTCAAATATAATTTGAAAAGTAGTAAGGTTCGTCATATGGGAAGACTCAAATAATTCAAAAACAATTACATACAATAATTAAAAAATTATGCATGATGGAATATGGTAAGTCCATATTAGAAAATATAATAGAATACTCTAAAGATTGTAAATGATAATTATAACAAAGGAATATATAAACTGTCAGATTAAAAATCTAACTGCTTGATAAAACATTTCAGTAATCAATAAATCTGATAACATTGTTTATTTCGAGAAAATGGACTACAACTGATTATAAATAATAATAGAAATAAATTATTTTCTTATTATGACGAAACTGAATGTTGTATGTTGAGATGTGGTTGTACTCGATTATTCTCAGTTGCATTGATTATAAATCCTGTAAAATGATAAAATGTAGTGAGTAAAGGCAAAATGTTAATATAATAAGCCCTAAACAATTTCTGAAAATTTGTACGTACAATACCTAATAAATCTTTAATGGCTGATACATCTAATTCCTTGTAGACTCGTTTTACAAATTGAATTAATAGATTAATGATATTTAATTAATCTAAAATGAACTAACCAATAGTATTACAGTATGATTACAATAAAGGGGTTTGAAATACCTTCCACATATCTGATAGGAGTAACAACAGTAGAAATTATGAACTGAATAATAAAGTTGGAAGTTGTGGTAATGTCTTCATCATGAATAGGAATAAGAGTGAAATCTTCTATTGTAACCCACAAATTTTCTACAATACTATTTTCGAAGAATTGAATGTATTTTCTATAAACTGTAGCATAAATTGTATGGCCCTGCAAAACAAACACTAAACGTGTTTCTTAATGTAGTAAATAAGTAAAATACAGAAAACGAAAGCAAGGATATCATTATGATTACCTCTTCGTCATATAGTTTCATATTGAGAGTAGTTCCCCTATGTGGAGTATATTGTTTCCACTTCTGAAAAATTTTAACTCTAATTTTCCAATCAGTAGTAAACGGATCTAAATCAGATATATAATCGAAAATACAACTCATGACTATAAAGCATATAAGAATTATAGTAAGGCAAAACGTTAAAAATATAACACGGTATACTCTTTATATAAAGTGACACCTTTGTGATAGGGTTTTCGTTTAACTATATGGAATATTATGGAAAAGGTAACTGCCTAGATATTCGGGATATAGTTGTTCGATATCTACGTGAAATATATTGTATAATCTAAAAGATCCATGCATATCATTATATCATTAAATCAACGCTACACACTAATAAGTTAATAAGATCAATAACTTTATTTGATTGAATGTCAACTCTAATGAACTTGTATAACTTGAATAATTTCTACTTGCTTGGAGGTGAAAAGCAGACTGTAATTAAGTGAGGAGGGTATTGGTTAGGCAAGACATCAGTACATATAAGGAATTATTTGTAATCTACAAATATGAATGATTCCAATTAGTATTTAATTGTAGACAAATGTATATAAAAAAACTTATATGTCAAACTTTATCAAATTATAATATAAGCTGTTGAGATTGTCATAAATCAATTTTGCATATAAAAAAAAACTAATGTATCTATACTGGTGGGCAATAATACATAAATATCAAATAGTAGACCAACATATTGCTATAAACCAAACATATCATGAATCATTTGCTCCAACACGACATCAATAGCTTTTCTTCCAACTTCCTGAATACATTACAAATTCATCATACACGTTAATTAAAAAATCAAACGTAAACATTATTATAAGTTATAACTTACCTGTAATGTTGAAACTATATCTTCTGGAACACTTCTTTGAATACAACGTTCATTGTCTGTTTCTGAGGTTTACCATCTTTGTCAATAATAAGAACCTTTAACCCATCCTTTGATTTTATTCTAGATAGAGCAACATATAGCTGCCCATGAGAGAAAACAGGTTTTGGCAGATATAGACCGACGCTTGAAAGTGTCTGACCTTGACTTTTATTTATGGTCATAGCAAAGGCAATAACCAAAGGAAATTGTCTTCTTCGCATTCTGGATGGAAATTTTCCTTCGGGAGGTGCGACATTCAACCTTGGAATATAAACTTTCTGACCATGAGTGTCACGAGTCAAAACAATAGCTTCGATGATATGATCAGCTAATTGGGTGATTTGTAGCCTTGTCCCATTGCACAAACCAGCCTTTGGATCTATATTCCTTAATAGCATAACTGGTGTTCTTACTCTTAATCTCAAAAGAATGATTAGGAAGACCAGACAACTTTATATTATTCAAGAAATCAGGAGTATATACTCTGCTATCCTGGTTAGATGTATCAGATGGATCTATAGAATCAGAACTTAGATAAGTCTTCTCCTCACCTTGATAATAAAACTTTATAGATATATCAGTACAGTATATCAATATAATAAAAAACTTAAAAACTAAATGAAGTAAACGATAAAAAATGGTAATTGTGTTTACCTGTCAACATAGAAAGCATGTACTCGTTGATGAGGCATACATCGTCATTCGTCGGACACAAAATAGCCCTTTCCTGGTAAAAGTGAGGATCGGTTTGCTCTTCAAAACTTAAACCATAAACTTTCTCGACAATAGATTTAATGGGATCATCATATTCTTTTAGTAGAAGTTCATCAGGAATGTCAATCATAACTTCTCTTGTGTTTGGTAGATTAATTTTACCATCGCCAACTTTAAGAATCCATTCTGAAAATGATTTGATTTCCTCTGCTACGGTTTCATCAAGATTAGCCAAAAGCCTCATGTTTTTTGTAAGCTTGAGCACCTTGCAATCATCCCATAAATATGACGAATTAATAGAAGCCATAACAATGTCTTCCCTTCCTCCACCACTGATAACAGGCAAAATTTGTCTAAAATCACCACCAAACACAACAACTTTTCCTCCAAATGGTTTTTCCTTATGACGCTTAATAATATCGCGCATAGTACGATCCAAACTTTCAAAACAATATTTACTCATCATAGGTGCCTCGTCCCATATGATAAGAGATGACTCAGCAACTAAGTTCCCTAAGTCTGTTCCAGGTTGAATATTGCAAGTATTGTCATCATCTGGATTTATTGGTATACCGAAACGGGAATGTGCGGTTCTACCACCAGGCAATAACAGAGATGCTATTCCACTACTTGCAACATTCAAAACAATTTCATCTCTAGCACGAACAGCAGCAGACAGTAGTTTCCATAAATGAGTGTTTCCAGTACCACCGAACCCATATAAGAAAAATATTTTCCCTTTATCTTCTGTGACAGCTTCCATGATCTCTGTGTAGACATTCATCTGCTCGTCAGTTAAACCAGGAACCATTCGTTCTATGATAGCCTTCATTTCCTCTCTATCATAGTTTCTTTCATCGTATATTAACCTATTGATACCAGCTGTGTTGTAATCACCCTCTGGCAAAGGCTAACCATCATAATTTGAAAGAGAACCACCATTGCTTCGCAGTATAGTTTCAATTGCATCTAATGTGTAATTTTTTAGCTGTTCATCAGAGAGGTCCAGTTCTGCAAAATGATCACAGCATATTTATATAAATCCAATACTTCATAGTTGCATAAAGTATTATGGTATACATAAGATATATAGTTAGAGACCATTTTTTCAAAATAAAAGAAATACCTGGATTGTTTTCAAATAATATTCTTCTGTAAAGAATATCATCAGATAGCAAATTCCAAGTTTCTTCCCAAACTCCAAATGGATTAATTAGGCTATCAGTCAATAGCATAACGCAGAACAGTTTTCGAAGGAAGTCACCAGAACCCCACATGCTTGCTTCATTAATCCCATCTATATATTCTCTATCATCATCTAGGAAACCCAATGCATAACACGCATCTTTGTATGTAGGATGTAAAACACCATCAACTGTCTTCAAATCATCAAACCCCTTAGGACATTTGTGTCGGTTGAGTAAAACACGAAGGTAGTACAATTGGCCACATTTCAGAGGTACATAGGTTATTCTACCAACTGCTAACCTATTCTTCTCTTGCCTTGGTTTCCATTCAATATTTGTACGATCGTAAACAAACATTGTAGGAAACTCAGCATATGTTAGGTTTTCAGCTTCTGGATACTTATTGCAAGCTTCAAAAAATGCTAAAAACGTTGAGCTCTGTACGGACCTGCGATTTAGAACAGTTTCAACTGGATCATCATCATCAAAAAGTACTGATTGCTCGTTTTCAAGATGAAAATAGAGTTTCTCCACTAGAGTCGTCCTAAAATGGATTAGAAATGCCAGCAAACACCATGTAGCTTCGCATGCAGAAACATATCTACATACAAAGAAATCAGTAGATATTTAGTTTGTGATCAAAACTTTTACAACTTATAAAACATGCATACAATCTATATCCAATTAAATATTACCTGCAATCGAAGTACTCCTTAATTTCATCAGTATTATCCTCGCCGTTTTCATCTACATTTGCGCATGCTACAGATTCTGCACTTTGATTTACATCATGTTCAATAGTAGCTAGAACACGATCAGGTCCTTTGTTGATACATTTGAAAAGGAATTTGATTGACCTTGCCTGAGTACACCATTCAACATTGATGTGAGCTCTATATCGCAACGATAGCTCTCTATTAAGGCACACCAAAACTGTTGTCAATTTGTAGTCCATTCTTCTCAACAAATGCTTCAGTCTTCCTTCTCATATAATGTGGAAACCCTCTGTTGTCAATGGTAGTTCTTTCACAATATTTCTTTGGAAACTGCTTAGAACACTTCCCATTTACCATACATGGACTACTTTTGTTAATCACTCCGCAAGGTCCATGTATCATGTTCTGCTTCACTACTTCATACAAAACCGGATCAGTATCTTTGTCAGGAATCTCAGCAGAAATAACTTTATCAATAGATTCAGTAGTAGACAATTTTCTTTTTTCTGCCATCCATAGTAGGATATGTGCATGTGGAAGTCCTAGTATACATACCTGTTAATATAAAACAACCAAATATGGATTACTATAACAATTTTAATCAAATTATAAATAAAAATATTAAGAATGTAAACTTAACATACCACAAACACTTTTTCTGAAAATGTTATTTTCAGTGAGATCACTCATGAGGCTGTCTAGCTTAATTTTGAATATCTTGCAGAAGATATCTAGTCTATCTTCAGGATTCAAATTTTGCTTCTTTGTATATCTAATTATCTCAGTCCAGTTTGGATTGCAGGAGAAAGTTATAAAAAAGATCAGGAAATCCAAAGTGCTTACAAATGGCCATTGCATCCAAATAGTTATTGTTCATATAGCGTGAACCACCGGTAAATGATGCAGGTATCAAAATCCTCTTACCTCTGTTGGATAAACTAGAGGTTCCTTCCTTTTCAGCCTCAACCAGATTCATATACTTGTCTGAACGAAGCTTCTTCTGATTGTTCCTGAAATATCGAAGTCGGCTAGACTCTATCATAGTAAACACATCAACCAGAAACTTCTGATACAATCGTTTAGACCGAATGACTGACTGAGATTCCATGAACCTATCTTGAATTCTATAAGCATAGAATTCTCGCATGCTTATAGTTTTCCGTTTCCGTTTGTTGCCATCATCAAAACCGTCTTCAATACCAACAGTGAATCCATCCTCACCATATGGAAATAATAATGGATACTGAAGAGCTAGATAACCCACATATAGTTCACTAATTCTTCTGAGGTTTCCATGTTTAGTCTCTAATACAATATCTCGTATATCCATTCCTTCTTGAAAATCCCCAGGAATCAAGGCTGCGACTTCTGTGGAAGTTGGCATGTTATGTGTTCTAGCATCTTTATTCCTGTTAGCAATGAGAACTAACTTGACATTGTCTTCTGGTTGTTGAATATTGTATCTGTCTTTGTAAGAACGGAAAGCTTTCACCATTGGATTACAAAAGTTTAACATCTTCATGAGACATTCAATTAACGCCGGCCTTAACTTGGTCGAGCTAGAGACATTCTTGCTGAAATAGTAAGAAAGTGCATAATTAGAAGTAATGTATGATAAACATATTAACCATTAGTAAACACTAATGTTAATGGATATTAAAACAGTGCGTACAGTGCATACCTGATTGATTTCTCTTTGTTTGTTATCTCATTAGCTGTATCATGGATATACAGCTGACAGAACTTTGGTTTCTCTTTCCTTTGAGGAATCAAAGAACCAATTAAATGATAATTTTCACCATGTAGTTGGAATACGGGTGGACCACAACCCTTGTTTATATCGTAATTTATCTTTCCACCAATAGATGTAAAAGAAAACATCATGTTGTAAGCTCTGATATTCTCACGAAAATGGCGACAAATTTCATCATCACTCGAGAAGAGATATATCAAAAATGGAGGAGGTTGGTTAAGTAAGGGTAGCTTAACTTTTCCCTGCAAACAACATATAGTAAATATATATGTTGCACTCTTCTTCTTTTTCTGAATTCGTTCATTAAACCACATCCTTGCTTTGCAGTGCGTGCATTCATACATCGGATCACCTTCATCATAATATCCTGAGGTAATATAACATTCGAGATAATTAAACAATTAATACAGTTATTAATATAACAGAAAAAGTATCAATATAAATGTGTAAAATTAGAGACGTAACCATTTTCCAATAGCACAGGTTTACGTTCATGATCATAATCTTCTGCTATAGTATCAGTTCCATGAGGACTTTCGTTAAACTTAACCCCTTTCATTAAACGTTTCCTGTTGTGTCTGGTCTTTCGCTGTCTCTCGAACAAAGATTTAGATAGTTTCTCTAGTCTTTCTCTAGCAATGATTTTGTCAACAGAAGAGTTCCACCACATAATGACTTAGATTCAGAGTTAAGATTACACTAATATGTATTCAAGGATAATAAAAATTAAAAGTAATAGGAAAAAAATGAATTACTAATAAAGAGAAGGATACATGACTTCTCTATTCCATCAACTGTGTCTGAGCTTGATGTATTCTTGTTTAATTTCTCTGGTGAAAACATATAACCAAAGAATATTGAATCAAAAGGAATGTTATATATTAAATCAGATACATCGTTTAGATATAAATACAATTCAGTAATCTTACTCGGACCACTATGTACTTGTTTAGGAAGACCGGAATGTTGGGGTTGTGAAACAGGAGTTGTTCGAGACTTACTAACAACAGATGGTGGCATTGCATAGGTTGTATTTGAGGTTGTACATTCAGATACATTAGTATCATTTGATGAAAGGATACCATCTGATAATAAAATTGAAAAACAAACAATGAGTTAATAATTTTTATAGATAAAATGTTATCAATCCATTCTACTATTAATAAATGGAATTATTCTTACTTGGCTGTAAAGGTAGAGATTTAGCAATACCAGAATTTAGCTTCCGTGAATTAGGATTTGTTCGAGATTTGCTAAAAACATATCGGCATGTTGCATAGGTAATATTAGAGGTAGTGGTTTCATTCCTATTAGTTTGCCATGAGATTGGATAACACCAATATCATTACTAACGTTGCTTGCACGGTTTAGATCAGGAATTGTTGTATTATGTTTTGCAATTTTAGGCCGTGAAAATTGAGTTTCAGATATGATGTTACCAAACCTAATACCTGGAAATATAATATATGTTAGCATTGAATGTATAAACATATAAGCTAATTACTATATATAAAAGCAAGAAATGAAAAATGGTAGTTGAGATATATGTAACCTGTTTCGTCATAAGATGGTGAGCATTGCAAAGGTCTCTTTATAGGTGGCGTGTTTTCTTTTAATGAGCTTGATAATGCTATATGAAGACAAACAATATCATAACATATAACATATAAGACAATTCCTAAAATGATTTTTTAAATAAAACATAGTTCACATACACTGTTGAGATTTAGGTGTGTTTGACCGTATAGAGAAACAACCAGAGTTGCTGACATCTCTAAGAATTTCATCTATGTATATAAACAAAAAAGACAACACAATTTAAAAATAATTCAAAGTACAAAACTATTGAGTAAAACAAATAATAGATAAAAACTCACTTGAAGTAGATATGTCAGATGATATCCGAGATGAACTCTTCACCAAATCGTTTGAATTGCTTAAAACTCTAAATATCATATCAAATGCACCAGAAATAGGCTTTGTGGAATGTGTTTGGCTGGTAGATGCTGTCTTTTGTTTTTTTCTGAATTCTGTTTTCATCATTTTCGTATCCATAACGATTTTTTTTAGAACTATGCATTGCATAAGAAAGTGAACATAAGTGTAAATAGAGGTAAACGTGAACACAAAGAATGTTATGAAGCGGAAAACTTGACTTATATGAATGAATGGTTGTTTGTTCGAAAATTCAAACTAAATGTGATCCCTTATGAATAGGAAAACAAATATTCTACATTTAAATTCATATATCTAAATCCACAAAAATAGATCGTAAATATAGAGAAAGAATCAATTTAGTTACAAATTGCCAAATGAAAAGGATAATTATAGTTAAGTAAAGTAAGTAATAAGGTTAAAATATATAAGTTATAATACATTATCAGTTTTAGCTATTGATGGAATTTGTTTTCGGTTAGTAACTATGCGGATCTTTGGATATATAGATTCATATAAGTATATTTAATTTCTTTACAGTTTTTGAAATAATACTCCATAAATTAATAAAGAGTAATACGTTCAAATTGATTATAAGCTAATTATGTTTGACTACTATTTAATATATTATTGATTTCATTTGAATGATGGTCATAAGATTTCAAATACAAATTAGAAAATTACTAAAACGATATACAGAGTAAAACAAAAAACTAATGGTGTGAAAAATGGTACGACATCATAATATTAATTAAAAAATAACCATCCGATTACAAAAAAAATCATCCAAAAGCTAAGTAGAATAAAAAACAATGATAAAAGAAACAATTATTCAGACGATTAAAACAGAACAGAACAGTTAAAATAACTGATTTCGGTTCTTAAATCATGGCTTCTCTGTCTTCACGGTCTTAAGGGGCAGAATACTTGGATTAGTCTCAACAGTTTTCTCATCCTTACACTTCTTCTTTGCAGCCGAATACTCATCAGTATCCTTAATCACTTCCATCTTTTCATTGCTCTTGCGCTTAGAAGTAGGTGTAATTTCAGAATCATCATCATCCATAATCATTAGAGGAACCTATAACATATTAATTAATCTGTATCAATGAAAGTATTATATAATAGTACACATGAATGTAAGAAAACAGAATACACAAATAGACCTTTCCATCAAGAGTATTGTGAGCTTTTTCCTCTATCTTGATACTTGGAGTGCTCTACGAAAAGTGAAAGTAATGAATTGTCAAAAATAAAGAATTAGTGTATAGATATTTTTTGATAACAAAATGATATAACTGTACCTGAGGAGTAGAGATTCAGAAAACTCCTTAACCAAATACCTTTGTGTAGTTATGTTGATGACCTTGAGTGTGTCACTATTGAAAACAATATTTGAACCTGCTTTTGCAATCTTGATAGAAACGTTTTACCACAAATATTGCTCAAAGCTAAGGGCAAGACATCAGGATCCTGAATCTAAACAAAGAGGAATTTAATAAAATTTAAATAGATCAAACAAAAAAATTGTCATGGACAAATGCAGTATAAATATGAACCTCATTAACAGACTGAGTTAACTGAGCAGCAGTTTGGTTGACAACTTCTTTTGCCTCTTGATCAAATAAGAGGAATTTGGTTTCACCAGTATTATCCATGACACGGAAAGTCAACATAAACCTATCATAATTTGAAATAGTATAAGTTAAAATTAATAAAAGGTCAAAACTTTACTATAACATAAATACAATAACAGACTTACGATGGATAAACATTCTCAACATCCTCATTGCATTTTTTGCACTGCCACAATTGTTTCTTAAATGTTTTCCCAGGATACAGTTCTTTTAAGTAATCCATATCATGAGGGAGAACCTTTTTCGAACAGGCTTCGCATGACATGTAATACCAACCAAACTCAGTGTCAATAGACATAATTGTGGCCATGGTAACACATTTGACAACCTTTGAAAGTGAATAATGATATTAGAATCAAATATATGTTATAAAAATTGAACTGACATAATATATAATTACCTCAGAAGCAGCAATAATCTTGCTAATAGTCCTTCGAGGACTATGCAAGAAGAAATCGTCCCTTACTGATACAGAATTGACAATAGTCAACTAATTTGGATGGGTATAGGTCAGGGTTAAACCATCTTTTGGCAATCTGTATAGATTAGATTACATAGTTATTAGAATATAAAACTTGAGAAGTAAATAAAAACATGGAGATAATTAGTTTTACCTCTCTTTAAAAGCCAAACTCTCTGGGAAGACTGGATCAGTAATGACCATTGAACAGTTGTAGCAATTGCCAACACTCCAAACACCTTGATAAAGTTTTAACTTTCCAAACCGCAAAACAGCAACGATCACAGCATCATTTGCATGTTGAGCCACAGTTTCAAGATTTTCAGCGAATTGACCCCAAAGAACACAATTAAGTCGAACATTTCTACATTGAAATTGATAAATAAATTGAGGAAAAATGGATACTAAACACAAATAGTAAAGATATAGAGCATTAGTGATAGTTTAGTAATGTAAATGCTAACTCTGTATCACGGATCTCCATAGAAAGCCTCTTTGTCTGTCTCTTTCCAACATTCAAGATCTCCACATCCCCAATGCTCACAATTTGTCCAATAGCATATGAGGTAAAAAAAATCATGTTAGTACTTTATAATAACGCAAACAAACTATATATCCAATAAATAATTTAGTAATTAAACAAATTTGCCTATCAAGAAATCTGGATTCACTTTGCCTTCGTGAATATCACTACACTTGACGAACTTGAAACCTAAGATTCTTGGATCCATTTCTTCTGCCGGTTTGACAGATGTTGTTGATGCGAAAAGGATTTTGTAAACGTGAGGGCGGGTCCTGAACTTACCACCGTTATGAGCCACTAGAAAATTTGTGATAATTCTAGAGGCACCTTCCTCTAACAGATTTTCATTTTTCTTGATGAACTCCTTCTTCAAAGTTACATGCATGGTTTGATTATGTGTATATATAAAAGAATATGCATGCTTTAAAGATACATAGGTTTGTATGAAACTGAAAATAAATGAAAACAGTCGTAAAATATATAGATTAGTACAAGTTCTTAAAAGTAACATAGATAGTATACCTTCTCATCAACAACAACCATTTCCAACGTCTCTACACCATTCAAGTATTGTTTCCACACCTTCAATATCTTCACGTAAACTCTCCATTGAGTTTTGAAGGGCTTCACGGAGTAGAGATCGGTGAAAGAAGACATAATAGCAAGATGAAATTTGAGATTCAGAAATGTATTGAAAGGTGAGGGATGATGAAGTATTGGAGAAATGTACATCTATATATATACGGAATTGAGAGAACATGGTATCGCTAGGTTAAATATTTAATTTAGAATTTTCTTCTTGTTAATATAATCCAAGGATCTCGGTTATTCTTCGTTTAGGAATAAATATATATATCTTCCGCAATTTGAGTTACTAATATGGATGTTTATTTAGTTGTTTAACAAATTTCCAAAGGTTTAGGTTTAGGTTTAGAAATATAGAATATGCGAAAATATAGATAGTTACTTAAACCGTTTGAAGTTTAAATCATTGTTATTAGTAGTTTAGAAAATTTATCTAGGAAAATATCTATGTTTCGAAAATATAGGAACCAAAGAATTCAATGTAGAATATGCGAAAATATAGATACTTACTTAATCCGTTTGAAGTTTAAAATATTGTTATTAGTTATTTAGAAAATTCCTCTAAGAAAATATTCACCTTTCGAATTTATAGGAACGAAAGAATTAAATGTAGAATATGCGAAAATATAGGTACTTACTTTATCCGTTTAAAGTTTAAATTATTGTTATAAATTATTAATGAGAATATATTTGAGTAAGATTTTTAAAACATGAGCAATCAATACTGATTAAATTTTTTAAAAATAAAATTGTTGATGGTTATATACGAATTAGATAAATGATTAACTAATGTAGGAATGTTTATACGTTTTTAAATAATGAATAACGAAATTATAATGATTATACTTTTCTGTAAATGGTTATTATTGTAACTTTTATTCATTCAACATGTATAAATAATAGTTAGTAAGATAATATATAAATAATACCAAAAAAAAATTTTCAAACAACTCAATAAAAAGGTAATGGTTGATAAAATTATAAATAGAAATATGCAGTTTTAATATATGAAGAAGACGTATTTGAAAAATTTAATGCAGTTAAATGTGTTTTAGGAAATAACGGTCTATTTAGCTATAGAAATACTGAAATAGTAGAAGAATTAAAATTAAACGAATTAATAATATAGCTAAATACCAACTTTAATTTTAGAGCTGCCAAGTGTTCAATAATACCCCCACTTTAATATATTGGAGATTTCTTCAGCCACGAACAGGATCTTCTTCTCAAGCTTCATAGTATCAGTAGGCTTCTCGCCATTTCTTTTTAAACCAATCGGTGGTTACTCACACATCCAATTGATCACTGTGACTTAAAAAAGAAAAAAAAACCTAAATCTCAGAAACCGTGTTCTGGCTCGAATGGCATATCAAATTCATGTCTCACGCGTCTTGCCATCATCGTTATCAATCATTGAAACTGGAAAAGGTCGATCCTTTACGATAAATTTATTCCACAGAAGAAACCATCACAGAGATTCGTCGCTTAATCCCATGAAAAGGTAAGCGTTTTAAGTTTTGGGGGTAAAGGATTTCAATTTTTGGTTTTGATATTGAATTTCTCTACAATAGTTTTCAGATTCGAAGAGAAAATCAGAGAATAGCGTTTGCGTTAGACACAGGTTCTTCTTCTTCTTCTGTTCCTGGAGATAATGGAGGAGGACAAGAGATTAATGGAGACAGAACAGGTCTAGGCAGCACAAGATTAGGGAGAATTGCGCTTGCGTTAGGCAACCAGTTGCTTCTGAAAATAAACGCTGCAAGAAAAAACTTTCCAATGAAGATCTTTCTGCTGCTTCTTGGTTTCTACACTGCAAATGCATTGGCAACGATTCTTGGCCAAACCGGTGACTGGGACGTGCTAGTTGCAGGAATTGTTGTCGCTGCGATTGAAGGAATCGGTATGCTGATGTATAAGAAGCCTTCTTCAACATTGTTATCTGGGAAGTTGCAGTCTTTTGTTGTGTTTATGAATTTCTGGAAAGCTGGTGTTTGTTTAGGTCTCTTTGTTGATGCTTTCAAGTTGGGTAGTTGAAAAGAAAACAAAAATCCATTCTTTTCTTCTTCTATAACGAGTAATGTGTGTGTGTGTATAGAGAGAGCCTTTGATTAGTTTCAGTTTTGTTGGAATGTCTGAGAATGCAGACCCTGTTTTTGACACTTTAAAACAAATTGTATTATAAGTTCACTTGTTTACAGTAAGCTAAGCTTTGTTTTTGAAGAATTGAAGATCTTGTGAATCAATTGCTCTAAACAGTTTCCTTAGAGTTGACAAGTGTATCAGTTTTTTTAGAATGTCTGAGAATGCGGATCTTGTTTTTGGCACATCAAACCCAATGGTTATAATAATTTCACTAGATTACAAGTAAGCTAAGCTTTGTTTTTGGAAGAATTGAAGTTCTTTTGAATCATTTGCTCTAAACAGTTTCTTTAGAATCTTAATGGGAGCAAGAAGAGAGGCTACATACACAACTCAACTAATTGGCATATGTTTGCCAGAATCCAGACAATGTATCACCATGCCTCACCACTTCTTCGATCCAATATTGTCTTGGTTTGCATCCCTTAGTATCTGATTGGTCCATCGAGGCTGCCTGTAGCAAACTGAAACATACAAGAAAACAAATGATTTAAACTGCATCTGAAGTATCTCCATGTCTCTTGACAAAATCTTGTTTGAAATTAGATTTGAACATGTGAAAATTAGGGACCTGTTGAACTATTGGATTTGTTGAGGTTGTAAACTCATTTGTCATTCCTTGCCAAACGATCTTTCCTTCATACAGAAACAATAACCTGAATAGAAGAAACAAAAAGTTCTCAAGGGATGAATCAAAAGCTGCGAAATGTTTTTTCAAGAATAGGTACTAAAAAGCAGAACCTGTCCACAGCTCTTTGAATGGTGCTATGTTGATGGGTGACAACCAGATAAGAAGCGATTTTTCCAGGTTTTGCAAGTGCATCCTCATCCGTCATGTGAACAGACCGTATAAGATCTTCAACTACAGTTGATGCAATTGGATCAAGTCCAGCAGTTGGCTCATCATACAAGAGCACCTAAGAAAAATGCAGCACATGATGTAACTAGGAGTCAAGCCTCTAGAGAAGAAACACCTTCATGAACTTGAGTAGATTCTTCAGATGACTTACCTCTGGCTCTATGACTTCTTTTGTTGTATCAAAAATTAGTGAGCGAGCTAAAGCAACCCTTTTCTTCATCCCACCAGATAGCTCAGAAGGTAGTCGATTCTCAACCCCCTGATCTTATTAAAAACAAAAACAAAAATTCATAAGGAATCAGATGTTTCTATCCGAACTAAACAATCACCATTTGATGCAAAATTTTATCAAACTATCAATAATTAGGATACCTTCAAACCAACAGCTGCCAAGGTTTGTGTCACGAGCTCAGATATTTGATTCTCAGACATTTTTGATTTTTCATAACTGCGAGTAGTTAACATGGAAGACTTTAATAAATACGATAGGATAACAAAAAAGTATTAGCCACCTTTTGGCTAGAATTGAGGTCAAAGGATAACATCTTACAGAAGAAAACCAACGTTTTCACGAACTGTTAGAGAATCAAAGAGAGCTGCGCTCTGAAATACCTGTAAGATAGTAAAATAGCCATTTGATACAAAACTCCAAACCGAAAATGCCCAACTCCAAACCAAAAATGCCCGACTCATGAGGAATTCTATCTCAGAATAGCACTTACCAAGCCAATACGAAGTCCTGATATTTCCTCATCACTAATCAAACCAGCTCGTTTTTTCCCTCGTATATAAACCTCTCCCTACATACCAATCATCATAGACAATCCATAATCTGCCAGATAGTGAGAAAAAAATAATGCACGACTTGCAACAGTTGCAGACCTTGTCTGGAGCAAGAAGACCAGCCATGATCTTTAAAATTGTTGATTTTCCAGTCCCAGAAGGACCAATCACCCCAACAGCTTCTCCATGTCTAATCTGCATTACTAAAAACTGGTTACAACGTGGTGGCTTTTGTGTGACTTTCCAAAATCTGAAGACTCTTGGATAATCTAAAATATTAACCTCATAGGCTCTCATTGAATTCAAGGTTTAACAGGAAAAACATTCAGTTAAAAAGAAAGGCAATCTTTACCACTTCTAATGTACAATTATTTGCCGTGTATCTGAGAACGAGCCCGGGATTTCAAGAGTTTAAACTATGATAAAAGAGCATTACCAATTCCATGCTACAAATATCCAAACCAGTACACTCTTATGTCATAAGGCTAGGTCAATGTGATCCTTAAAGGAAAAGAGTAGCAAAGAAAACCTCTCAGATAGCACAGAAGCCTAAAGCTAAAATCAATCGTTTTGCAAATCACTAACAACATTTCTTTACCTTGAGTTTGAATGTATAATGACAAAACCAAAGTTATACCTTAAAGCTAACACCTTTCAAGATATGTTTCTCCCCAAATGATTTGTAAACATCTCGACATTCTATAAGAACATCGGAATCATTCTCAGGCTCTAGCTGTTTACGCAGACCTCCTCCTGATTTAGAGAGACTCTGCAGATATCAATCATCAAAATATTAGACACGACTCAAAGTTCAAACATTTGAATCAAAAGACTAAAGACAAGTATGAGCCGAGGTTATCAATGGCAGATAAAGGCGGAATTTTTTGTGAATATTACATCGAATTTAGTGGCTATGCAACAACGCAACGAACTAATACTCTTTCTTCCCACAACGAATGATCGGTTAGAACCATTGCAGTGTAAATTCGGAAGTACCAACGAAGAAGAGGATAACGAAAGCATGATTCTGAGTTTTGGATCTTGAAGAACGGATTGTAGGTGAACAAATTCGTTACCGATTTTGGAGAAAATTGACCCAGAAATTAACACTGATCAAGGTGTGGGATTTACAGGAAACTTCTTTGCGGCGAAAATTGCTTTTTTTCTTCACCGATTAAAGAAAGCTACGTTTGTGTGAAAATCACATGCCATTTTCTTTTTAGCTGTAGTTTGCTGGTGAAACGAAAATTACATGATGAATAATATTTTTGCAAATGTTGTTTAGTTAAGGGACTGTTGATTTGACAAAAAAAAAAAGATAAGGGACTGTTGATTAATATCCAAATCTATTTGCAACCACACCGAAATTTCCAGTATGATTGGATTGAATATTTAATTGCATTAAATTAATTTATTAATTTTTATTCAATTTGACATCTCTATCATCTACAAACATATCGAATTTTAAGTGAATAATAAGTTGAATAATTTCTTACAAAAAATTGGAAGTATGTGATCTGGATATCAGGACGAGTAATAGTAAATAAAAATTTGGAACAAATGCTAAAGTATTATTTTCTTTGTGTCATAAGATGTTTTGAAAAAAACCTCTAAAACATCTTATGACGAAACAAATGTAATATATGTTAAATATAATATATTAAATAATATGAGAGTGAGAGAGAGCAATGAAAATAATAAAAACGAGATGAGAAGAAGTTATTTTAATTAAGTTTCATTCACTTGACTTATATCAAACTTGTACAAATGAGAATGCCATATTTATATGGAGGAGAGGAGAAACCGACTTTGATAAAGTCGGTTATGTGGATAATTATCCACTTTATAATACTCCTTTTTAATTATTTATCACTAATAATGTATTATGTACTGTCTCGTTAAAAATTTTATTATGAAAAAATTTAATAGGATAAAAACCATGACAAGGAAAAACGAATACAGTAATGTAATCTCCTTCTGAAATTGATAGATATAATTTTTCTTCATATATCTTGCAGTCGGCGCATTCTAATGCTTTGAACGTGTTTTCTGAATGATGTAGTAAGAAGCGCTTTAATGTAATCTCCTTCTGAAATTGATAGATATAATTTTTCTTCATATATCTTGCAGTCGGCGCATTCTAATGCTTTGAACGTGTTTTCTGAATGATGTAGTAAGAAGCGCTTTTGTAAAGAGATCTGCTGCATTGTCACTTGAGCGAACATATTGGATATCCACTTCTTGATTTTTCTCGAGTTTTTGAATGTAAGAGAAAAACCTTGGAGGACTATGTTTTGTTGTGTCGCTCTTGATGAAACCTTCTTTGAGTTGAGCAACACATACAGCATTATCTTCAAATACTTTTGTTGGTTCCGTATCGATGACTATTTCACTTGCACCTTGTATATTTGAGTCATGGATCTGAGCCATATGCATTCTCTACATGCTTCATGAAGAGCAATGATTTCCGCATAATTTGAAGAAGTGGCGACCAAAGTCTGTTTTTGAGAACGCTATGAGATCGCCGTTCCACCAACTGTGAAAACATATTCAGTTTGCGATCGAGCTTTATGCGGATCTGATAAATATCCTGCATCTGCAAAACCAACGAGACCAACTTCGGGGTTTCTATGATAAAATAAACCCAGATCAATCATAGAGATAACGAAAAATATGTTTTATCCCATTCCAATGTCTGCGCGTAGGAGATGAGCTGTATCTTGCAAGTAGATTAGTTGCAAAAGCTAAATCTGGTCGAGTACAATTTGCAAGATATATAAGCCCACCGATAGCACTCATATAAGGTACTTCAGGACCTAATATGTTTTCGGTATCTTCACAAGGTCGAAATGGATCCTTGTTAATATCAAGTGATCTATTGACCATTGGAGTAATCAAAGGAGTTGCTTTATCCATTTTAAAGCGTTTTAACACCCTTTTGATATAATTCGATTGATGCACAAATATCCCATCTTGGAAATGTTCAATCTGGAGCCCTAGACAAAATTTTGTTTTTCCAAGATCTTTCATTTCGAACTCTTTTTTCATGTGAGTTCTTGCCTCATCAATCTTCTTTTGACTTCCGATCATGTTCAGGTCATCAACATATACAGCAATGATCACAAATCCTGATGAGGATTTCTTAATAAATATGCAAGGGCATATCGCATTGTTGATGTATCCTTTACTCAACAAATATTCACTTAAGCGATTATACCACATGCGTCCAGACTGTTTAAGTCCGTAAAGTGATCACTGTAATTTGACCGAACAGATGTCTTTAGATGCTTCAGACATCTCTGATCCTTCTGGGATTTTTACTCCCTCTGAGATTTTCATGTATATTTCACTATCAAGTGATCCATATAGATATGCAGTCACAACATTCATAAGGTACATGTCTAGATTTTTATATGTCTTTAGGCTCATTAAGTACCTGAATGTGATTGCATCCATGACCGGAGAATATGTATCTTCATAATCAAATCCCGATCTTTGAGAAAAACCTTGTGCCACAAGTCGGGCTTTATATCGTGTGACCTCGTTTTTCTCATTTCTTTTTCTCACAAAGATCCATTTGCACCCAACAGGCATTACATCTTTAGGTGTAATGATTATAGGTCCAAAGACATTTCTTTTATTCAGGGAGATTAATTCATTTCTCATGGTCATCTGCCATTTCTTCCAGTCAAGTCTTTTTTGGCATTCTGACACGGACCTTGGGTCTGGATCATCGTTTTCATTTTCAATTTCTTTGGATACCGAAAAGGAGAATATTCTATTTGTATCATTTATCTCGCTTCTAGCTCATAATGTCCCACTTTGGGTGAAGTTAATGGAAATCTCATACTTTTCAGTATCATGTTCGTCTTCTAGACGAACTTCTTTAACTGGTTCTTCTGTAACCTTGTCTCCCAATTTCTTTTTCTTTCGAGGATTTTTATCCTTCGAACCCATTGGCCTCTCCCGCTTTAATTGAACCTGCGGTTCATTTGCTTTATTTCCATCAATAACTAGTTCCGGAACATTTATTTTTGATGGAGCATTAGCAGCGGTGATATATGATTTTGTCACTCTTCTCGTATCTGTAAACGCATCAGGTAACTGGTTTGCCAACCTTTGCAAATGTATGATTTTCTAAACTTCCATTTCGCGTTGATGGGTAGGGGGATCGAGATAAGCCAAGGTTTGTGTACACCATGTGATATCCTTTGGTGATTCTCTTGATCCTCCCCCCCAATGCTGGGAATTCATTTTCATTAAAGTGGCAATCGGCAAAACGTGCCGTAAACATATCTCCAGTTACCGGTTCAAGACATCTAATTATACTTGGGGACGTATAGCCGATATAAATTCCCAATTTCCTTTGTGGTCCCATTTTTGTTCTTTGCGGCGGGGCTATTGGGACATAGACCGCACATCCAAATATACGGAGATGGGATACATTTGGCTCCTCACCAGATGTTAACTGTATTGGTGAATATTCATTATATACACTTGGTCTCATCTGGACCAATGCCCCATCATGCAATATAGCATGTCCCCATATAGTAATTTGGAGTTTTGTTCTCAATATTAACGGTCTTGCTATCAATTGCAACCGTTTTATTAAAGACTCAGCCATGCCATTTTGTGTATGAACATGTGGAACCGGATATTCAACATCGATTCCTAATGACATACAATAGTCATTAAAGAGGCTGCTGAAGTGAATTCACCAGCGTTGTCAAGCCTGACTTTCTTTATGGCATAATCAGGGAATTACGCTCTCAACCTGATTATTTGGGCAATAAATCTTGCGAAAGCCATATTTCTTGTGGTCAATAAACACACATGTGGCCATCTACTAGATGCATCAATTAATACTATGAAATATCTAAATGGCCCGCACGGTGGGTGAATCGGCCCACATATATCACCATGTATTCTCTCTAAGAATACAAGAGATTCATTCCCAACTTTGGCTGGCGAGGGCCTAGTTATGAGTTTTCCTTGAGAACATGCCTGACATGAAAACTCTTCGATTGAAAAATCTTTTGGCTTTTCAATGGGTGGCCACTCGAATTTCGCACAATCCTTCTCATCATGACTGATCCAGGATGGCCAAATCTTTCATGCCATACTCTAAATGTACTAGTAAAGCCCGGGTTTACTGTAACATAGGATTCAGTCATATTTATTTTTGTGCAATATAACCCAGAGGACATAATTGGTAATTCTTCCAATACGTGTTTCCTCTCAGATATAATGCAAAGATATTCAATGCCATTCTTATTTGTACTTGCTATATGATATCTATTTCCTCGGATATTTTTAAAACTTAGCAAGTTTCTACTGGATTCGGGGGAATATAATGCATCATTTATTTCAAAATTTGTCCCTCTTGGCATTGAAAAATTAGCTCTTTTGGAGCCACTTATAATATTTACATTACCAGATATAGTACCCACGCTTCCGGCGGAGTCCTTTATTTTGAGACAGGAGAAATACTTTTAATCTTTAAGTATAGTATGTGTCGTAGCACTATCGGCTAGACATGTATCTCCATCCTGAATCTCAAACGATGTCATAGTCTAAATCACAATATGCAAGAAAATGCATTAATAAATCAAAAACATGATTTTAAAAGTTATTTTACATTAAGAAAAACCTTTTTTTTTATGTTTAGAAAAATATATTACATTCTTATTTAAGATTACATTAGTTTTCGTATCTTCTTCATAAAGACATTATATTACATTGATCTTAATCGCTTTGTTTCCGTTGATTCATCAGGATCAACAAGAAAATCAGCGATATCAAGATGAGTATAATCACTTATGCCATCAAAGGAAGGTCCAGCTTCATCAGAAATGAAATCGGTTTCAAAATTCTTTCTTTTATCCTTTTCTTTGGCATCTTGTGATGCTCGGTACAGATCGGCTAAATGTCTTGGCGTACGACAAGTTTTTGCCCAATGATTTTTCATGCCGCATCTTTAACAAGCAGTTTATTTTTGCTTTCCTGCTTCCCGACCAACATCGTTTTGTCTTCCTCGTCCACGACCTCGTCCGCGACCGCGGTTACGGCTTCAACCACGCCCGCATCCGCATTCGGTTCTATTATTTTGATTAGATGACGCAACATTCGCTTCTGGGAATGGCGATGATCCAGTTGGACGAGTTTGATAGTTTAACATCATGAGCTGATTATTTTGTTCAGCTACAAGGAGGACTTGCATCAACTCCGAGTAAGTGGTGTAACTTTTTGCCCGGTATTGTTGTTGCAGGATTACATTTTCAGGATGAAATGTTTGGAGAGTTTTTTTGATCATGTCGGAATCACTTACCTCCTGTTCCACATAACATCATCATGGAAGTAATTCCGAACATAGCGGAATTATATCCACCAACAGTTTTGTAATCCTGACACCGGAGGTTCAGCCACTCATGTTTGGCTTTTGGTAAGATTACATATTTTTGGTGATCAAACCTATCTTTAAGAGATTGCCAAAGATCTGCAGGATCTTCTTTCGTGATGTATTCTTCTTTTAAACTATTATCGATGTGGTGGAGAAAAATATCATGGCATTTGCATTTAACTCATCTGATGTCGTTTCTGACTTATCGATGGTATCGAGAAGCCCGTTTCTTCTTAGATGCATTTTTGCACCTACTGCCCATGATATATAATTTTTTCCAGATACATCAAGGGCAGGGATTTTGAGCTTCGCCAAATTTGACATTATAACTGTATATAATTTTATCAAAATAAATTTAGCAAACTTTCAGTTTAAAAATTTGCTTTTCGAGAAAAACATGATAAAAAATTAATTCTCACACATAATAAAAGCATAAAATCTAAAATAATACAGGAAGCAGAGCCTTCCATATAATTTGAGGAGACAGAGCCTACCATATTTTTGAGAGGCAGAGCCTACCATAATTTTGAAGAGGTAGAGCCTACCATATTTCATAAACATAATATCAAGGAGGAGGTTTAACCTTCTACTTCATATATATGATCTGAGGAGACATAGTCTACCATATGATCATATCGTGAACGCATAGCTTATCATAACGACTGGTTCGGAGAAGTCAGAGCCTATCTTCCTGTAAACTTAAATATAAATAAATAGCATATAAATTTAAATTAACGGTTCGGGGAAGGCAGAGCCTATCATCCCGAAATAATACATAAACTTGAAATAAACATAAATTTAAATCTTATTTTTTTGGGTATAAGAACCGTTCGTGCTGATAACGTGTTAAATATAATATATTAAATAATATGAGAGTGAGAGAGAGAGCAATGAAAACGATATGAGAAAAAATTGTTTTAATTAAGTTTCATTTACTTAATTTACATCAAACTTGTACAAATGAGAATGACATATTTATAGGGAAGAGAGGAGAAACCGACTTTGATAAAGTAGGTTATGTGGATAATTATCCACTTTATAATAATATATGATATATTATGTAACGAAAAATCCAGGTAACAAAACATGTCTAGGAGGAAGTTAAATTAAGTAAAAGTCTATTTTGATATTTGATTTTCCGGGTAATTCAGATAATTTCAAAAACACATTGAGAATTTTTGATATTTTGACACAGTAGTTTGGATTTTTTTAATAATTTTAGTAACCACATAGCCTAGTTTGCTTGACTTGTGATTTTTGGAAGTAATAATATATTTCTTAAACAGCTGATTTCAACACTAATGGACTCTAGTCAAATTAGCTTACATAATGTTTTAGGATCCTTACTTGAATCATAAACTGAATCATAAATAGAACAAGAACCAAATCACATGAGAACATGGCGAGTCGAACATGGCCAATGTCTCCGGTTAATGTAAATCCAAACCGGTCAAATTATATACACAAGTAACATTGAGAGAGGCAGAGAAACTCTGGAAGATAACAAGACTGAGAATTTAGTAACAAACAAGCATTTCAACTTCACATCTCACTCAGACAACAGACAAATGTGTGTTAGAATTTAATATACATCAAATCAATCTTCTCTTTGCCATTAACCTTTGGTCTGAAGAATATAACTCCAAGCACGAGCTGAACAGAAGATAGCCAACACTCCAAAATCGAAGCTAATAAACGCACTCAAACAAAATATCCAAATAGATATCGGTCCTTCCACCAATTCATTTTGATAGATTTCCTCTTGTGATGCATCAATGTCTGCCGGATCACACTTGGTTCCGGAAGATTCAACACACAGTTCCGGATTTCCGGCTAAAGCGCCTGGAAACTTTCCCAGCCCTTCTTTCTCAGTGATGATTCCGGAGAAACAGTTGTGAGATAGATTCAGAAGAGTCAATCCTGGAGGAGTTGAGACGTTTCCAGTGACTTGACCTGATAGAGAATTGTGTGAAAGATCTAAGGCCTTTAATCTTGGTAGCTTCTCTAGATGAGGAAGCTGACCTTCAAGGAAGTTGTAAGACAAGTTCAAGTACTCGATGTTCTTCTGTCTGAACAAAGCTTCTGGGATCTCTCCATGTAATAGATTGTCAGAAAGATCAATCCCAACCATGGACAATAGATTGTAGCTGAAGCTTAGTTCGTCTTTAGCAACCACATTTGCTGATATCTTGATCTCTACTTTCCCTGGTGGCTCTGCAGATCCATCGGTCTGAAAATCCTTGAACCGTGTGCTGTTCAAGTTATCGTCCGGTATAAACCGTGAGAATCTGTTGCTGGAGTAGTCAATCATTTGGATCTTGTCGAACTTGAACAACCAAGAAGGAAGAGTTCCACTGAATCTGTTCCTGGCTAGAGAGAGATACTTGAGGTTGGACCATTTAGTAATAGCTTCATTGAGGTTTCCTGAGAGGTTGTTTGAACTGATATCAACAACCTCCAGCGACTTCAGGCCGGCTAAAGTAAGCGGAATCTCACCGGAAATCCTGTTGTTGCTTATGTCCATTATCTTCAGACTATCCAACGCATCAAGCTCAGGCTGGATTTCTCCAGAGAGATTGTTGTTGCTGATCATCAAAGCAAGCAACTGAAAGCAGCCAACAATGTTGAGAGGGATTGACCCGGTTAATGCATTGTGTGAAAGATCAATGACCTGGAGATACGTCAGATTTCCTATCCTAGCTGGGATAGCTCCCGTTAGAAGATTGTGAGAGAGACGCAACGCTTGTAAACTCGTTAACTCAGTGATCCTCAACGGTATATAACCAGAGAACCTATTGTGAGAGAGGTCGAGAAGAATCAGACCTAGTTTCTCAGTTGTCTCCGAGATTCTACTAGGGAGACGACCTGAAAACCCGTTGTGGCTTAAGTCAAGCATCATAAGCTTCTCAGAAAATACGAGCCTTGGAGATATCTCGTAACCAAAGCCATTGAAGGAAAGGTTCAGATGACCCAGCTCTTCTAAAGAACCCAAACAAGAAGGTAATCCACCAACCAGAGAGTTCTCAGCAAGATTCAGTACACTAAGAGACGGACGAGAGGCGTAGAAGCAAGGCAATGTACCGGAAAACCGATTCGATGCAAGATTAAGAACCACCAATGGCTGTTGAAAATCTCTAAGTGTACCAGTCAAGTTATTTCTCTCAAGATTCAAGTACTTGAGAGGTTTCAAATACAGAAAACTCGCAGGTAGCTCTCCAAGAAACGAGCAGAAACTTAGATCAACTCTCTCCAGATTCATCAAATCTCCAACCCAGTGAGGAATCAATCCACCTAAATCTCTATTCTCGCTTAGAACAAGTTCTCTAAGCTCCTTAAGGTTAACAAATGTTCCGGGAATCGCACCAACAAAACTATTCCGACTAAGATTGAGTGTCCTGAGATTACGCAACGCACCGAAGCAGGAAGGAATGTTTCCAGAGAAATTGTTCCGAGAAAGGTCCAAGCTTTGAAGAGAAGCGAGCTTACAGAGAGATGGATGAATCTGACCGGAAAAATTCATATCGGATAAAGTGAGGGAGAGAACTTTTCCGGTCGGATTCTGACAAGCTAGACCTGTCCAGTTAGAACACGTTGAGCCGTACCATGTCGATAAGGTTCGATTCGAGTCGTGAATCGAGACGCGGAAAATCAATAAAGAGGCTTTGTCTTGTGGGTCGATTTCTCGAGGCTGTGATTGAGATAGAAGCAACGAGGGAGAGGAGACGAAGAAGAAGAATAAGAAGAAAAGTGTTAAATCTGCAATCCCCATTATAGCTCACTGGAGAAGATGAAGTAAGGTATAGTGGCAATTGAAGTAAATTACGAAGGTTTCAGGGGTGGAGATGAAAGGGCATCGAGCTCTCTTTGCAATGGAGAGTGAAGCGACGCGACCTGGAAGTGGAAGTGGAAGTGGGAGTGGGAAGACAAAGACAGACAGAATATTCCCTTTTCCGCTGCTTTTGTTTTAGCCGCTCAGACACACAGGAATGATTAATTTAATTTAATAGAATTCTTTTTGTTAAACCAAATTGGTTTTTTTTTTTTCTTTTGGTTAAAAAGCTTTCATTAATTTTAAAAAAGAACATTTTTAAAATTAATGAATTAAAGAAAAGAAAAAACCAAAAAAGATTAAAAATTAACTTAATCTACCAAAATTTTTTTAAGGACCAAAAGCTGAAAAGGAGGAATGGCTAACGAGATCCACGACCACGACCATATGACGATTGCATATCTTTCATCTTTTGAGAAGGTTTTATTGGCCTACCTCTTCGGAATTTATGATGACTTGCAGAATCATCACTCTTGAAAACTCCTTATCAAAAAAATCACCAAAAACCATAGGTGGAAAAAGAGCAAAAATATCAGCACTAGGAAATGAGTTGAAATAAAAGGAAGATTTCTCAGTTAAAAGAGCGGAGGGAGGGCTTGACCCATTAGCTTTAGAGGCAATGGCTATAACGTCATCTTCACTTTGAGCGAAAGATGGAGAAGAGAACTGATCAGAAATGCCTGCAACCTTTTCAAGGGAATTATTTTCGATAGTAATATCCAGGAAAGAGGTAAACTTTCTGTGACAGCTGCAGTCTTTTGAGTAGAGATTGATGTGGTTGGGAGAGCCTCCAATACAGTTTTATCTGTGGAGACAGTGTCATTATTGGCTACAGGAGTGAGAGAGTCTTCTTGGGGATTAGAAGTCATTGTAACAGCAACATTAACAATGGGTTGCGTTTCAGGATTCGTCGAAACCAAATCACTCTTAGGCTCCTGCACCTCAAACCAAATCCTTCGTCGTTAAACCAAATTGGTATCTGTAGTGTCTGTGACAATACCAAAACCGTCCGGATTTGTTCAAGGAAAATGGCATAACTTACGGTAAACAAGTCCTGGGTGCCAAATTAAGATTTGGTTTAATATTCTAAATTTTTTATACATTTTGAAAACTAACCCATTTTCAAAAATCTTTGAAAACTAACTTTTTACTATTTAAAATTATAGAAAACCTTAGATAAATAAAAAATATGAATCATGATAAAATCTAGTTAATTATTTACATTGTATTTAAAACATAAAAATTGATAATTTAAAAATTTATGCGTTGGTTTTTATTTAAAAAAATAATATTCTTAAGTTTTAGAAATAGATTTTTATTATCAAATTCAACATAATTCTATCATAGATATGATCCCGTAATCTAAGGGATAATAAGATATTTGAAAGATTCAATTTGAGAAACTTTAATTAAGAAATAGGCTTTACTCGAGTGAAAACCGAGTTTGCAAAAAAAAAAGAGTTATACATAAAAATGGTTTAAATTTTTTGGGTTTATAGAAGAGGTTGGGTGATGAGCAAGGAATTATGGAATATTTTACAATATATATTTATTTAGAAAAAAAATTGTTATATTTGCTATAATTTATTTTACAATATATTTTTATTCCAAAAATAATAAGAAATTAATTATTGTATTTGTTATAATTTACTCTAAAAAAAATCATGATGAATATAATTGTCTTTTTACCTAAGAAAGTTACTTTTCAAAGATTTTTAATGGGTTAGTTTCTCAAAATATACAAAAAAATTAGAATATTCAATCAAAATTCCTCTTTTTTTTTAAAAAAAAAAGTCTTCCATTTTTATCTAATTTTTTCTAGTGTTTTATGACATTGATTAGAACTCTCCCTACCAATGAACATGAAAAAAAAACAAAATGTGTCCATCTTAAAGCTTTCTCTTCTGTCTCCATAGAAGAAAATGCGATAATCTTTGTGGTGTTTACTTTTTTTTTTCTTTAACATCTGCTTTATTATTATATTATGGAGATAAAGTCACAATGTAAGGTATTTTTTTTTTTGGATAAGAAGTTCTGGGCCAATGCTTGTATATCTCCCTAGGCTTGGACCAGCCTCTAATAATTTATCTGTCCCAGCTGCCACTCATTGTGACTTCTTGGATTATCCCAGGGTACCTTTCCAGTTGAGCTATCGACCTATGGTCAATGTAAGGCATTTGAAATTGCCTGAGGTACATAATTATGATAAACGTTGGAAATATTTGTCTGGAAAACTTTGTTTTGCAAAGATATCTGCAGCTTGATTACTCTCTCTCTTGGAATCCAGATGAACTTAGCATCTTCAAATTTTGCTTTCCAAAATCTTATTTCTCGAATCCAGTTGAACATACCGAAATCCAGAGTCTTGTTGTTGATAAGATCCATCAACACCTTGCAATCTCCTTCAAAGATCATTTTTCGAAAAACTTTGCACCTTAACAGTTCTGCATTGCAGTAATTAGTGCCTGAAATTCCACTTCCAAAGCCCTTGATTGTCTCTGATTCCATGCTTGTCCTGCTCCTAAGTATGTTCTTCTATCATCTCTGATAACCCAGCCTGCCTTAGAAACCGAGTTTGTCAAACAAAAGATCCATCAAAGTTGCATTTGGTCCATCCTTCAGGTGGTAAATTCCATTGACGATGACTGATTCCTTGTCCTTGCAACATGGTAGGTCTCCCATTAGCTTGAAGGGACGATATATAATCATTATTATTCAGCCATTCTCTCGCATCATTCTTTGCATATCGAAGTATTTGCTCCCATGGTATAGAATATCTTTCAAATACCAATGTATTTCTACTTTTCCACAGTCTCCAAAGGACCCATAAGGTGAGTTGATAAGTCTGTCTTGACATAGTTGTGGAATGGTTGGAGAATAAAGCCTCAATTTTTTATTCCAAACTGATTGTCGGATCAAAAATTGATGGAATAGGAAGCCCTGATCCTCTCCATATAGATTGGACGTATAAACAATCAAAGAACAGATGTTTCGTCGTTTCTTCTTCCTGGCAACATCTTAGACATAGAGAATCCCGACTAATATGTCTTCTCTTACAAGCCTCCCCAGTTGCTAAAGAACCAGATAGTAGTCTCCATAAAAAGTGTTTTATCTTTGGGGCTGTTTTTAGCTTCCATATGGTTGCTTTAGTGGTAACATTACCCGGAGGAGCTATAGGACCTTGATTAATTTGCTGATGAGTGGCAAGTCAATAACCAGATTTCACTGTATAGATACCTGATTTGTTGTAGTGCCAACCTAAGAGATCAGTTGTAGCATGACAGAAAAGGTTGATTTCAAGAACCTTCTCAACATCTTCAGTGCTTACTAATTCTCTGACTTTCTCCTCATTCAACCCTGTTCGAGTGTCATTGAACAGTTCACTAACCAATCCTTGAACTTCTTCTGAGCCTCTTTGTGTCGGAGCTCTCAGTAGATGAGTAGGGAGCCACTGATCGGTCCACAAGCTTATGGTCGATCCATCTCCTATTACATATCTTAGCCCTTGCTTCACAAGATCACGTCCTTGAAGGAGAGACTTCCAAATGTAAGAATTTTTCTTACGCAACTTTGCCGTGAGAATATTTCCATTCTTGTAATATATGCCAAGGATTAATCTTGCCATTAAGCAATTTGGTTTCTGCATCAATCTCCAAATCTGTTTCCCCAACAAGGCAAAGTTGAATCTTTCAATATCTCTAAAACCCAATCCTCCCTCTTTTTTTGTGGGAGACTTAATCTATCCCAAGCAAACCAATGCATTCCTTTCCTATTTGTTCTAGATCCCCACCAAAATCTAGCCAAAATAGAGTTGATTTCATCACAGATTCCTTTTGGGAGTTTGAAAACATTCATGGAGTATACTGGCATGGCAAGAGCAACAAATTTTAATAAAACCTCTATTCTTCCAGGTGAAAGAAACTCTTTGTTCCAACCTTGAGTTTTCTCCTTCAACTTTTCGATAATGTACTTGAACATTTCTATCTTTTTGTTACCAAACTACTCTGGTATACCAAGATATTTGCCATTCCCTCCCTTGTTATGTATTCCCAAAATACGTCTCATCTGAGTCTTCACTCAAATATTGACCTTTCTTCCAAATGTTATTGCAGACTTATTCAGATTAACAGCTTGACCAGAAGTTTCCTCAGACAAAGATAGAACTGATTTTATCGCATTCTCTGATTTTGGATTTACCAGAGAGAAGAAAAGAGAATCATCCGTAAATAGAAGATGATTTATCACTGGAGTGGATCCAGAGCCGTTCCTGAGTTTTGTGAGACTATAGCGTAAAAAAAAATTTGACCCTTTAAATTTTTTAAAGAAAAAAAATGTTTAACTTAAGAAATTTTTTTAATAAAGAATTAAAATTATGTCCAAAAGTTGAAGGAAAAAAGAATAAAAAGCTGCTGTAAAAGCTTCGAATGTTGAACATAAAGGTGACTCCACACGCATTACAGCCATCTGCTCTAACTCATCTTTAAGAAACTTGGCCCCTAAAAAATATTTAAACCTACCAGCCCTGAAGCATATGCTTCATCAGCTTCTACCCAAGCACGGTTCTGAATGGATCCACCTAACTTAATCCTCGGAATTTTCTTTTCTGATGCTGCTTGATTCATCATATGAGATAAAACTTTTGTTCACAATATAACTAGATCGGGAGATAATGGATCTCCTTGTCTTATTCCTCTCTTAAGTCAGATAATTCCTCTGGCATAACCATTTATCAGAACAGAGAAGCTGAGACTTGAAACACATGTTATTATCCATTGATCCATTTTTTTATCAAAACCCATGTGTTTCATAGCTTCCTCCAGAAATTTCCATTCCAATCTATTCTTTGTGGTGTTTACTATTTATGAATTTGATGCTTTGAAACCTGGTCTCTTTCCAACCTATATGAGTCGAGACCCAAAAATGATACACACATCTATAATTACAATTACATGTGTCGTTTACACTCTATATGATACACACATCTATAATTACACACATGTGTCATTATCCATTTGATACATTTTTGATCAAAACCCATGTGTTTCATAGCTTCCTTCAGAAATTTCCATTCCAATCTATTCTTTGTGGTGTTTACT